CAACGAGCGCGCATCCGTCATTCCGTTTGATTAATTACCCTCGTCGTCTCGAGTACCACTGCTGAAAATTAAAATGACAGAGTTGGCGCGCGCGCCGTCGTTCTCGCTCAGTCGAAACGCGCGACTGAATCTCATCCGCGAATCTCCCTCGTTTTTTGCAATTCCTCCTACCGCTCCTCCTCTCCCTTCCTTTAATTCGGTTCGCCTCGGATGAACGCCTTGTAGTTTCCAGCCTCCCGCGATTTTAATGCGCGCGTTGTACAGAACCGTTCGGTTTGACTTGGTTTCCGTGTCGTCAAGTGTCGTCGAGGGGCCCCTCGGTTCAGTACGATGCACGAGGAGTGATCGCGCGGACGGACAATTGCGATCGTGGAATCCGCGGTCGCGGCGGCCGCGACTGATCCCGTCGTCATCCCCAACGGTGATTACGGCGCACGCGGCGGAGCTTCCTCGTGGACCGGGGCAAGACCTCTTCTCCGGAAGACTAACCGGGCTCAGCTCAGCTCGCGCGGCGTCACGGAGTGCCGCCGCGCCGGATGATGATTGTTGCGGTGATGACGCCTCGCGCGGTGCTCGCACTGCGCCGTGCAGCAATCGTCGGCGTCCGCCACGTACTCGCCGCGCTTCAACTGATGCGCGATCGTGTTACAGAGCGACCGTGGACAGCGTTTCCTGTCGCACCTGACCTCGCCGTTCTGAAAGAAGCAGAGGGAGCGGCCCCGTTACGATCAAAACCATTTACGCGTTCGTCGCGCGAAGATCCGCGCGAGAAATGCCAGCCGCGGCGCGGAAGCGGATCATTCCGCGGATCGGCGATCCGCGACCCGCAAAGTCGTTCCTTTTTAATTCCTCTTATGATATAACGCAGGATGATACATATACATGCGTTTATTCTTTATATTATTAACGCACATTATTTTCACATTAATTATGCTCGGACAAATATAAAAAAATAAGAACGCGCGAAAACGGCCCTCAGCGCATGGATTACATTTATCAAATATTTTATAATTTTCTTCAATTTATAGATAATTTTAAATTATTATTACAATATATATTATTGTAATAATTATTATCGAAACCTATCTATGAATTGAAAAAAATTATAAAATATTAATTATATAAAATTAATATATTAATAATAATTTTCTTTTACATACTTTATACTCTTTTCGTGTTCCCTCTTCTCGAAGGATGTATAGCATAGTTAAAAGGAAGAAATATATGTATGTATCGAGACGCGATATTTATCTATCAACGAAAAAAACCGAACGCGAGTAATAAAAGCGAAACGCGAGAAGAACCGGTGCAACGAGCTCTGTAGGAATACAAAATCCGTTTCTCACGTTCGAGACGATTATTTTTCGCTCCGTCTCGTGACGTCGCGACGCGACGCGACGCGAGCCAGCCCGAGGCCATGTCGTTCCATTTTCATCGTAATGGATGGACCCTATAATGGTCGGGGCCAGACGAGCGAGAGCCCGGTTAAAGGTTTTCTCCTTAAAGACCTCTCTCGCCGTGCCCGTGTCTGGATATCGCAACGAGACGACCGGCACGATGACCGTCTAACTCTAACGAATGAATTGAGTGTGACGAACAAAAGTAAAGCGAGTTCTAAGACTTCTCTCTCTCTGCCTGGTAACAAGACGCGACCGCGAGACTCGTCCCGCGTCTCGTCGGTTCGATCAAAACGATTAGGTACGCTCGATAAAGAGAGACCGTAAAGAATAGCGTTTTATTCGCAAATCCAGCCTCTCGTTCTGGACCGATCCGCGCGATCAAAGTTCGAGAATCGCGGCAGCTGGTGGTCGCGTGTTTATCCGCTCTTCGACCGAAGATTCCGGGATTTCTCACCTTGCAACGGCACTTGACGCACTTCATCTCGCCGTGCGAGTGCAGCCGGGGATGCCATTCCATGCCGTTCTCGTAAGGCCCGCCGACGGGGTACTTGCAGCCACCGGAAAAGAGTATCTCCTCCGCGGTGCGCCGCGTCGAAGGTAAGGCCTGGTCCCTCGGTAGGCGTACGGTGTCGCCTGCCTCGGTGGTGGCCACGTCGCTACGAGGCGTCGTCGCCGGGCACTGCTTGCAGCAGGCCTTCTTGTCCGGCCTGAAGGCGATCTTCTCGTCGCACTCGAGCGGCGGACACTGCACCCGCGGGCATTTCACCTCCAGCGTGACAGCCTGCGAGACAAATGGATTTCCGATGTAAATTACGGCGGTGACCTCTCGTACCTGATGGCCACGCCCGGCGGTAACGCGCGCGTTTCACGCGTTTTTCTCACTTCGTCGTGCCGCGTATCACAATTGATTACTGGAGCTTTTGTGGTAATTTACAAATTTCTATCCTGACGGCTGAAAGGCGTATCGAATGTACTCGTTGAATGAAGAATACTCGTTGTCTAGTAATTTGTAAAAGACGCGCGCGTCTTTATCGTTCGCCGAATATATAACGCGAGGTATTTTAATAAGTGACTTTCTGCACTGGTGTCAATTGGCTAGAAAGCGATTGTCGAGCATTAAATAAACTGCAATCGTTTAGAAAATCTTGTCGCTGAATCATTCAATTAAGCTCATTACTAACTGCCAGACCGCAACCGCATTCTTCGGACGTGGTGTGGCACGTTTCAGGTTTTTCCGCGCTGCAAAATCGCCCCGAGGTAATTTTCGCGGAATACTGGTGATTACTTTGATGCGATTTGAGCCGAAGCGTAATTATAACGTATTGGAAAAATATGTGACTTCTTGCACTTCAAAGAAATTATGCGATACAGAAAAAATAATAAGTATTTCAAAATTTCACGAATATTTGTCCGCTATCTATCCACCTACGGCTCTAATAGAACGAAAAGGAGAGTAGAGACTTACGTCGCAAGTACAAACTGCACAAGTGTCGAATCCTACTGGTGGTAGATACGGATGCCAGGATGATCCCGCGAGGTGATATTGTCCGGCCAAGGTACAACCTCTCGTGGCATTGTCCTTGATCGTAGAGTTAGTTTCGGCAATCGAGTCTAAGTATTATTAACAAAACATTAAACGTTGAGGATATCGTTTAGGCATAACTTTACTAAATAACTTTTTAATATAATTTTTTTTATTCAAACGTTTTAGGCGTTATTTAACTTGTGCTCTTTCGTAATAAATTTTACTATACAATACATTTTATTCCATTCTATTCTTTACTTGCGTAGATATGTTTGTTTTGTACAAATTTCGAATTTATTTTCAATTTTAATAAATAAAAAAATTAATAAATCTCTTTACCTGCGCATATCGCACAGCAATGACCGGCCGGCGGTTGCTTGAGTTGCTTTCCCAACTCGCAAGAGATCGTCGGACAGGGTACCGTGTCGCATTGTGCCAAGCCGCGATAGCAATGACACATCGAGCAGGGGTCCGAGCTCGAAGTCCATTGCGTGCCCTCCTCGTAGAATCTGGTCTCGTGGAAGCACGCGCCGGTCTCGATGTCCGACCTGGATGGCTGCAGATTGTACGCCACTACAGAGGCAACATCGTTGTCAGCATAGTGCGGCAGACAGCTGAACGGTGCCCTGGCTTTGAAGGGGGCCTTCAGGATGTGAGTGACTTGCTTGTCCGTCACCTCGAGGAAACCGATGCCCGACTCAATCCTGTAGAGCTCCATCGGCGACAGCCCGGTGACCGAACCCTCCAAGGAGTATCCTGTGAATTCTTCGAGAAGTCTCCTGGCGACGGGAGCTCCCTGCGCCAGCATCGGCATCGTCTCCAAGTACAAACGGAACGTCCGTGGTTCCTGGGAGGAGGGCGGGAAACCGGCGAGCTCCAGCTCATAGTGCAGAGAACAGTCTAGGTCCACCGCGGTCCATATCAGGCCGACCGGTCCGGGATGCGTTGGCTCCTTGGTCAATCTCCGCAGCAGTACTGGCGCAGCCGTGTCTCTGGCGTCCGCCACGGGTCGCTCCAAAAGTCTGCCGCGTAACATGGAGCCAACATGACTCGCAGCGACTACGGAGAGTTCCTCGTTGAAGAGCGGCTGCAGTAGTCTCGGTCCGGGCCGATCTAGAGAACCGTTCGCGAGACCACCGACCAACGAAGGTGTCAGATCCTCGAGTTCCATTCTCCGTTTTCCCCCCTCGTCCACCAGGGTCACCAGGGGGCTCTCCTCTTCGAGTCCTATCAATTGTACTCCGTAACGTAGCGCGCCAATACGGTCCAGGAAGGCCCAGGCCAATCCGGACGCCATGGACGGCGTCTCCGATAGGAGCAACGTCTGATACATGTCGCAGGTCGCGCGCGGGCCAACCGTGCCTATCAGTCGAAGAGCCTGTGAATCATTGCGGGACATTATGCTGATCGACAACTTGCCTCGAGCCAGGAGACGAAGGTCAGTCCCGGAGATCGCGCTGCGAACTTCACCGTAATTCAGCTCATTCGACGGTTTTCTCACTATTATCTCCTCGCGGAGGACCACGTAATCCTTCTCGTGATGTTCCAGCTGAACGATCAGCGGGATATCAGCCACGTCGTTCGGCAGGAAGAGGCCGTTGAAGACGAGAGACACGTGGATCGACGGCGCCGAAGCGGACGAGGCGGACACGATCGCCGTCGCGCCCGCGCCGGCCATCAACGACCGGTCGACGCCCATCGCCGGTTCCAAGAGCGAGGAGAACTGCTCGGTCGAGAGCGCGCGATAACGCGACAGCTGACCGGTCAGGCTCGACGAGGGCTCCCAGAGGAAAGACACGTGCAGCCGTTCCTCGCGCAGCAGCTTGCGATAGTCGCGCGGCACGCGTCTCCACACGCCGCAGAGCTTGCCGGTGGCGTTCTGATAAGCGCCACCGACCGGATCGATCACCTGCTCCTCGAGGATACTGCCGGACCCATCGACGAACTGTATACTGCGCGGCCGGGGCGTCGACGCGGACAGATAGAACGAGTAGTAGATGTTCTTGCGATGGAACGTGAAGCGACCAGTCGCCAGGTAGTTATACGCGCTGTTATAAACCGACGTCGGACTCGGTTCGTCGCGACGCAGGGACTGCGACGTTCTGCCCGTCAACAGGGTGCCGAAATCTGTAACCAGTGAGGATCGCTTAAGCCAAAAAGAAAGGCGGCATTTCGCAAATGCCCATGATCGAGTGGACAACTAATGTAATCTCATTAGAGCCCGGGTCTTTCAGTCTTCAATATTGCTTTTGCACAAATATAAACGATTTCAAGATCAAACGTATGCGTATGTAAATTTTAAGAAATATTTAAAAATCTTACGTTTCAGGCTCCGCTCCTCTTCCTCCGAAGTCAGTTGCGCCGGCAGATCCTGCGCTATGTCTGCGTCTGCGACAAAAGATTTATTCCATCGTAAACGCGGACGCGAATATTTTTCTGGTCGTTCAACGCGCAATAACTTCTCGAAAAATTAATTATGAAACTCCTTAATAGGTATTGAATTTTTCTCGGAAAACCAATTTTCGCGATCTGCCTTCATTCCTTTTCAAAACTGAATGGATAATGAGAATAATTCGCAGAATATATTAGAATGATAACGAAAGCGTATTCTTGAGAGGGCACGTAAATTATACTATACGTCAGAATTAACGCCACGTAACTCACGTGCGATATAAAGGCAAATGTATAATTCGGTATATTCTACGCGCCAGGGCTCTCGGGAGGATAAAACTTCTCACGCAGGAGAATGGCGAGTCCTTTGCACTTTGCATCGGACGCATGTATACCCTCTGTCTCTATCTCTCTTTCTTGCCCCCCTATATCCTCCGTTCCCCGAGCGTCTCTCCTTCGAGACGGGCGTAAAAATAAAAATAACCGGTCGATCGTCGATCGTCGATCCCCATTGAGCCGATTCAGCGGCCGGTGGTGGCATGTGCACCGACCATAAAGTATGCCCGCGCGCGGTAGGAAAAGAGTCGGCTGGCGCCAACCGCCGCTACTTTGAATGCTACTTTTATGGCGCATGCCGCGCCGGTTCAGCGCCACGGAGACGTTAATTGCCGCGCGCAAAACGTACAGCACGCCTCACGCCGACGGCCGAGAGAGACCAGTTACTAACTAAACCGTTTCCGCCTACCTAATCGGATCTATGGCGACCGATGGCACCGGTCTGTCGCGCCATTAATATCGCCGAGAGACGGATATGAGCGATAATGTTAATTACGAGTATTAATTAGACCCACCTACCGCGTTTTTTTTTTTTTTTGCATCCCCTTTCCGTTTCGCAGATAGATTGGCCTGCCCCTCCTGCATCGCAATCCTCCCCCCTCTCCCTCCTTTCCACGAGGACTTGTCGCTTGTCTCTCGTCGGCCTTCGCGACAAATCCCCCTTCAAGCGCGGCTCCAAATCGTTACGCGACCTTTGTGACAATAATGACGTGGATTCGCAAGTCCACGATATTGCGTTTCGCAACTAGAAAGGATATATAACGCGTCATCTAACAGATATGTCGGCGGCTTATAGTCACTGGCGGCGGTTGTACTACCAAAAGTCCGTCACCTTAGGCACGACATCGTTTCGGATCGAAGGACGATCGTTACTCAGGATTAAGAATCGTCGAGGAGAGAGATATAAATGTCGCGAACTTCGAACGAACGGCGGAGCGGAGGTCGCAGATAGAGTCTCGCTCGTAAAACTGTGTTCTTTCGATCTACTAGAATTTTTTCTCTCTCTCTCTCGCTTTCTCTTTTTCGTCCCGACTCCAGACGCCTACGATATCTAATTTGCTTCGAGTATTGTCGAGAAAGAGTCTCGAGGCCGACTTTCGTGATCGCCCGTCACGGCCGGGACCGGGACGAGGATCGACGAGGACCGAATGAGAATCGATGCGACGATCCAATCGACGGGCTCAAGGGTCGCAGTTATGTTTCCTCGTGGAACGTAAAAGGCAGGCATCGCTAATTGCGGCCAGTTTCACCTTTCATCAGCAGGGGGCAACGAGCCTCTATCAGACGGCCGGCGACAACTACGACGATCGCCAATGTGATTATTATGACGACCGTTAGACGAGGCGTGCAGAAAATAAACTTGCTGCGCGTGATATTGATGCGCGAACGTTTCTATGAGGATAAATGACCGGCGCGGGAGTGGCGCGATCATCGAAAAATGACTCGCTCTGTCCTCGTCGCCGTCATCGCCGCCGCCGCCGCCGCCGATCCCCTCGTGGCACGGACGGACGGCGGAATTGTGGCGACAACGAGCTCTCTTTATCAAAAGTGTCATATTAACCTAATTGATAATATGCGCGCCTCTCCCGTTGCATCGCCAATAGCCGCGCGATAAGCGGCCGTAAAAATTTAACGAAACGACGACCCCGTCTCTCTGTTTATGGACGGAATCAGCCAAAAGGAACGATCGAAAACAAACTTGTACAAACGGCGCGAGATAAAATAAAAATTAAATAGAATGGAAGAAAAAAGCGCCCGTATCTCTCCCGAATCGGATTCTCTCGCTTCCACTACCGCCGATCTCTCTTCCATCTCCATCTATCCTCCGCCCGTCCCATCCGACCATCTATTCTTATTCCCCATCGCGCGCGTTATGCCCGATCATTACGTATGCTAATATTTACATTTAGATTGCACGGCTTAATCGAAGTGACGCCATGCGGTAATATAGCCGGCGCCATGGCGCTAAACCGTGGCGTCCGTCCCCAGTCCCCTCTCGCTCCGCACCTCTTCCACCGATTACGAACTCGAGTTCCCTCTCTCGAGAGAGAGACCACGATCGGCCAATCTTCCCCGCGCTAATTCCTCCTCTTTTTTTCCTCTCTCTCACATCCGTCCCTTTTTTGTATCCTCTTCACCGCTAGGTAAACCGTTTCGCTCCGATTTCTTCTTCGCTCACCCATATATTTATGGATAGGGAAATGGAGAGAGGATACCTGGTCCCCGGGTTATCGATATCTCCGAAGGTACCGCGAGCAAACGCGGCAGCCTATAGCGGACGGCGATTACGAGGGTCATTCTAAGACTACGAAGGGATTTAACGGGTCAATTTGCGATTTCCTCGAGTAAACAAACTACGCGCGATAAAATGCGAGGCAATACCGTAAAGGCCGATAGTAATCGCTATATTCGAAGCGGAGCTCGGTTTCGCCAATTCGCGCTCATTACCGTCGCGCTGGAGCTGGCGCACGCGAGCCTTATCTGGTAGCCTTATCAGCGCGCGGGATAACATATATATACTACTTTCACTGCATCGGGCGGCACGGGCCAAATTCTTCGAGAGCGCGCACCGCTCCTCCGGCGGGCGGGCGGCTGGGCAACGCATTCTATTTCTCTTCGCGGTGGCCGATCCGCGTATCGCCCTAGTCGTAGTAGAATGCGGATGGAGGAAATCGCATAGCCGAGATACTCGAGAGCCATACGGCGACTCCTTTCCCGATAACGTATCGTAGGGAGGAGGAGGGACAATATAGATGTACATGGTGGATCGCGTAAAAATCTTATCTCAGCTTATCTCACCGTTTCCGCACTCTTGGCGACCGGGAAAAAAAAAGAGATTAACCGCGGGAATAATCGCGGCGAGGTGAAAAATATAATACGGATGTGCTATATTGCGTAACTTACTGAAGTCACCGGGACAGGATTTGCAGCATCGACCCGGGAGTAAAACTGGTTCGTCACACGTGAGTTTCGGGCATTCGTTCTTGATGTTGCGGCATTGAACTCTCGCGATGATCCGCCGTTTCTTTTGCACCTGAAAGCAGAAGCGACAACCGCTGGTAAAAATAAAATCAAACTATTATTATGATTCTTCTTGCGTACGCTACACGCACGAGGCGTCCACGTGCTAATTTTTCAGGAATCTCCCCCTTTTACTTCGTTCTCTGCTTGTTTTCTGCTTCTCTGCTTTGTTCGCGTTACTTTCGATCGCGCCTCGGCGCGACGATGGAAAGGACGTTTGCGAGACTAAGGTGACACGCGGCAGCAGTGCGACGCAGTTGCTAAAAGTGCGGCCGCGAGTCGCGTCGTTCCAGTTACGGAGAAGAATTAAGTCGGTGGTTTTATAGAGCGGCGCGCGCGTGGCATTCTTGAAGCGTGAAACGACGCACTTTCGACGCGATTGACTCGACGGGAGGAAAGGAGCGAGCTGGATTATATCTCGCGATCGCAACTTGGAGTTGTCAGGAACAGCCGCGACTGCTGCCAGCGAATTTGGAACGTCGCGGCACGCGAATAAAACCCCCCCGCTATCGAGCACGACGATTTATTAAGCTCTTAAAGCCGATGATTAACAGGCTACTCCTCAAGATCGCGTCGACCCATACTTCTCGGGCATCCCCGTGCGGGGATGAGCGTCCAACGTCCGCGACATCGCGCTCCGACGACTTTAGGTGAGGAGACATGGCTTCTCTCTCGCGGCGACGTGTGATTCACGCGACGCGTCTGCTTCTTCCACCAACCAAGACCACGACCTATCAATAGCTCCTCATGTACACTGAAGAGGGACTGTCATTCCTCCGAAGTCTAAAAATAGAGGCCGCGCTCTCTCGCGGCTCCTCGTCCACGAGCCGAACATAACAGCGCGCCGCCGCGCCGCAGCGTCTCCCGCCTCTCTTCCGTCTCCGTACCATCCATCTTTTCGGTCGATCGTAATATATCTTCGAAGAAAAAAGGATTTTAACCCGTGAGAGCGTCTCGCGCGCGCGCGCCGCTATCCGAGGTGCCCGCAAAATTCGACTTGAAACTCGGACGGAATCGGCTTTACGCGTTCCTCGAATCGTCTCTTGGCCGGTCAAAAATATTATCTTCTCGCTCATGATCATTCCTGTTATTGCCACATTACGAGAAGGATTAGAACTCCTCGCGGGGTCTCTAATGATCTGATCGTACTCTAGCGACTTTAATGGCGCCGTACGTAAGGCGGTACCGTACACCTCTCCTTGTATGCGCGACCATATAATTAATTTTCTCTTCTCGGTAAACTCATCAGATAGCGTCTCATTAGCATTTACACCGATTACTTATCGCTCGCTTTATCGTCGTTTAGTGCACGCATAAATTCCGCAACATTTCCACATTAAGATTTAACGATTCGGCGCGCTCGAAATTCTCATAACGACCGGACTCGAGACTCGCGATCAACAACGATTGAAACGTTCTCGGGAGTTGATCCCGAATACTTTTCAATTTCATTCAACGTAGGAGCGTAATGCATATAACATGTTCGGAAATTTTCAAGAATGTTGAAAAATATCATTTTTAATCAATAGAAGAAATACAAGAAGTATGAAATTATATTTGTACAGAATATCACGTGGTGTTAAAAAATTTAGATAATATTAAAATAGTACTTGGGTAATATTTAAATAATAATAAAAATTGACAATTTATTTATCGAAAGTTTAAGTCGGAAAAATTAATTGAGATATATTATCAGAAATAAATATTTCCATCAATCAAAGCTTTGATAATTTTCATATGTAACAAAATAGATCGCGCGTAACGAAAAAGGAATAAGTGATATGTGATTAGAATAATACAAGAGAAAAACGAAACTAATGATAATCAAAATAATAATTAGTAAATGAAATATTTGAAGAACGTGGTAGGCGCGCTATGTGCTAATACTATTGAAAAAAAAATAGATGTAGAAAAGGAATTCGAGAACTTAAGATACTTTACGAGAGAACATCATGCGGCATTTACGCGTGCATTAAACGGCGATAAGGCGCGAGATAAAAAAAATCAGCGAACGCCAATGAAACGTCTGCGCGTGAGGGAAGAAAGCTAATTGCGCACGGTCGCAAGAAGAAGCACTACGGTCGCGCGTAGCACGCGTTCGTAATGCGCGTTAAAACAAATGTTTCCTTGTATTTACAAGCGACGTAGCGGCCGCCCGACACGAATGTTAATTATACGATTACACCACCGGATGAACAATCGCGGTTATCGTTTACTGCATGTAAACGCGAAATGGAAGAATTCGGTATTGCGCATCGAGCACTCGTTGCGCTGTCACGGGGAGGTGAGGTGAGGGAGAGGAACACGTACAATCGGAATATAAATGACGATTATTGCGCGATCTCGAATAAATATGTATCCGTGCGTATTTCGTGACGCACGCGCGCGCTCGCGAGTCGACTGCCGTTGACATTTTTTCGCGCCCCCCTCCCCCCACCCGCTCGCGGAGCGACGTTTCGGATCCGACGTCTCTCGACATTTGATATACGTCACCTTTGTGTCAATATCGTGGCATTTATACGCCCCGAGATGCTAAATTATACGCCGCGCGCAACGAACCGGGGTATACCGTAATTACAAGAATGTATACACACGATACACGAGCCGCTGCGCGCGCGCGTGCGCCACGTTGAGATTTAGCCTGATAGAAATTTATCCTCTCTCTGTTTTACAAGACTTTTTATGACATACCACGTCTCTCGGTAAACATCGATGTGATCTGACTTAAAAGGAGGAGGCGAAAAAAAATAACGGGCGTCGCGAACGCAAAGTAATAAGTACTTGAGATGTGATTATAGCGTTGTTTCTTGACAATAAATTCGAAGGCGAAGGATAGAGAGGGTACGAATCACGCGTCGCTCTTTATTCATGTATGTTAATAAATGCTGGCGTGGTACTGATTGTTTACTAAACACTACGTGTGCGCCGAACGCTACATGCGCGACACGCTACACATTTCAATGCGGGCCGTAGTGTGAGTTATTTCCTTTTTTTTTTCTTCTTTTTTTTAATAAAGATAAAAATGCTGCAACACGTACCGGTATGCACTCGCATTTGATGCAGTACATGACTCCGAAGGGCGGGCCCAAGTCCGCGAACCATGTCGAGCCCAGTTCGCGAATCTGCTTGCCGAACATGCATTCTGAAAAGAGGAGAAAAACATCGTCATTACTAATCGTCATCGGTTGCCGCGTTATCGTCTAATAACATTAGCGAGATAAATCGCATAAGCATAAATGTCATCTTATCGATTACTGGCGCTACGCTACTAGCGAGCTTGCCTATCGCGGACATTAAACAAGATATCGGCGGTCGGAGAGGGAAAAGAGGATATATTTTAGGCGCGAAAACGCGGCTCGCCCCACACGGCCCACACTGACGCACTTCCGTTGCCATCGTCGACGAATGAGGCGCAATTTGACGCGAGTGTAACGTAACGCGCTCGGTATGTACATACATTGATCCACGCGCATATTCATTCGCGTTCATCGACAATATATGCGTCGCGCGTTCATTCAAGCCACTTCGCAAACCGCCGTGTCGCGTGAAATGCGGCGAACGACGCATCATTTATCCTCGATGTAAAACTCCGGGCTCTTGTTTGCGCATTACGGACGCGCCGTGTGCAACCGGTTGGTCGATGCCGCGGTCGGTGACAAAGTGGACGAGTCTCTCTCCGACTTGCCGCACCGAATCCCGATTGTCGGATTGGCTTTAGAGCGCGAGACGTAAATCCCGAAGAGAGAAGAGATAAAGACGAGACCGTTATCTCCTACAACAAGCTGGCTGATAGCCAGTAGCAAAACATGTAATAATACGCTTCATTAAATCGATAACGATATCGGCCGTCTCTCTTGCAGCCGATATTTCTTTAGACTCGTGTCTTCATTCGTCAGGAAGAAAAGGAAACGGAGAGATTGCAAGCTTATTAGCGATGTAATTATCTTCCGCCGCTCGTCTTTTCATTTCCGTCCGAAAATAACGCGATGGGAATCATTTGCGTTTGTATTACGCGCGCATGCGTCTCGCGCGGTGTCCCTATTTCTGCGAAGCAATCGCAATATTGCCTTTTTTTCTCTTATAATCCACAGTTCTACATCCAATCTGAGATTGGCGGGATTGATATCAAGATTCATTATTATAAAAGCACTTTTACACGAGGCATACGTATCTTGTTTTTAATGTAAAACGAAAGGAAAAATCAATTTGACTCTTATACCAGGTTCTACGCGGTCTTTTAAAAAGATGAAACGATCTTTTTTATTCATGTAAATATCAAACAAAAAAATAAATATTTACTATGTAGATATCCGTACGTCTATATGTACATAGGGCACAAGAGAGAGAAAAGGAGAGAGATAATGTTGTGGAAAAAAATATATATACGTTAGCGGAATTTTCGTGATCATCGCTCCAAGATACTCAAAAACTATCCATTGCAAAGAGAAGAAGAAAGAGAGGGAGAGAAAGAGAGAACTCGGTCATGTGCGAGTTAGAGAAAGGGAAATGGAGAGAGGCCCGTTTTGCACGAGGTCATTGCACTGCGCGCGCTAAGTCGTTCTAAGCGCAAAGTCGCGGCCCTAAGTAACTAGGAGTCCGAGAGAGCCACGACACAAGCTACCGCATCGAAAATATGCGAGTCACGCGGCATAGTGCGGTAAGGTGAAGCGTATTAGGTCTCTCCTCTCTTTTCTCTCTTTCTCTCCATGTCTCTCTCTTTCTCTATCTCTCTTCTCGATAGCGACGGTTCCTTCGGCTTTTCCCTCCCGTTTCTCTCGTTTCTCACCCGGGGTGGCTTTCTCGCGCGACGCGACACGCTTCTCCGCGTGCACGCGTGTTAATATAAATCGAGTTTCCCCGACAGAGGCCCGACACGAGTGCGGCCACTTTCAGCGATCGTTATTATCGCGACTTTGTACACGAATAATCGCGGTGTTGTTTGGGTTGGAGAATTAGTAACGACGCGCCGCCGCGACGTACTCGCAACTCATCCGCGCGTACGCCTCTTGCCAACGGGCGAAATAAATTTCTCCCCTTTGTCCATGCGTATACGTGTGCCTGTGCACTATCGTATCGTCCACACGCGTATCGAAGAGACGTGAATTCTAATCGTGGAGGAGCATGGAACTTAATAAAGCGGCAATATCATTTGGACGGAGAGTGCCTATCGAGAACACTCGAGAAGACGTAGCAATTATACTTGCACTCGTAATCCTCGCGCCTGTGTTCTCGGGCGATATATTCGCCGATAATGATAATGATCCGTCGACGATATGTATTAAACCGACGATCGTTTCTCACGACACTCCTCCTGAATCACGGGCGCCGCGCTTAAAATCGACGCCCGACCTCGAGCGAGCCGAAATCCGGAGAGAGAAAATAAAATGTAGTTCGCGCTATGCGGTGCCATGAGTACGTCTTCGCTCGCTAAAATAAATAATGCGAGCGTATGGAAGAGGAACGCGCGTGTGCGTGCAACGGAATTCGCGCTGGACTCGTAATCCGCTAAGGAGGCGGTTAAGCGAATGGCAAACACGTGCTACACCTTTCGTTTTTCGCTTTTCCACACCCTCCTCCCCCGCCGACCACTCGCACTTCTGTATCCTTCTCGGATAGATTTACGAACGTGACGTCTATCCGCTCGTACCCTCGCCTCCCGCTCTCTCCACCGCTCGTTCTCGCCTTTCGGCATCTACCCGCTTCGTCTCGAGTTTCACATCACCTTTAGCATCGCGCGCGCGCGCGAGATCGTTCGCTCGTTCGCTCGTTTGCATCGTGACATCGTGACGCGAAGCGTATGCATAAGACGGTTATCCGTCGCGTCGTAACCGAGGGAGGAGAGATGAAGAAAACGCGACAAAAACAAACGCGCGGTTCGATCGCGCACAGTTTAGTCGATCGAGAACGTTTATCGGTTCTCCGCCAGGAAAGCAGGTCGGATCATTTAGATGATTTTCATTAATGGCACTTGGCGCATCGCGGTAATACAATTAGCGATAAATTTAATTCCGCAAAGGGAGACTTTCGTCGGGACGGGGTAATCGGCACGCGCGCGCGCGAGAGAGAGAGAGAGGATACCTGCATAGCGCTCTATAATTACGCCCGATTCCCGGAGGTGTCGAGCGCGCATCGTACGTCACGTGCATCATTTGCGTCACGGATGTCGCGCCTTACGTAACGGCCGCGTGTGTGACCGTGAAGCGTCTTCTTCGTCTAGACCGAGAGACGCGGAGGCCCTTACCTCCGTAAGGTACCGGCTCCGGACGAGCGCCACTTTCTCGAGCGACCACCGCCTTCGCGTCGCCGCGCCGCGCGCCGCGCCGACTCACGACGACGCTCTAACGTCTCCGCTAAAAGCGGACGGGCACGGGACACGTAGGCGACGCGCGGTGCCCCGTGTCGTCCCGATTGTTTATGTATGCGTGAACCGCCGCGCACCCGATACCTGTCGGCGCGCAGATTTACGTGGGCGACACGAGCGCGCGGACACATCACTCACAAGCCGTACATTTTATTTCCCTCCCCACCCCTCCCCTCTTCCCCTTGCTTCGACCCGATTTTTTGCGTTATTGAATTTCATCTCACCTCGTCGCGCATCTCGCCCGATCGGCCGGGCGGACGTTCGGAAAGAGGTCGCTATTTGCTTCTAAATATCTTCGCGCGTGTCGTCTCGCGAATCGGTTCTGGAGCAGCCTCGCGTTTCTCGATGCGTTCTTTCCACCCCGATCTCACTCACGCGTTGTCTCTCCCCCACTCGCTTACGTATCTCATAAAGATACGGAGAGAAACGCGGGTATGTCATTTCATACAATTTATGTAACAGGAAAATACTCCTCTCTATTATTTCTTCTTCTCTCTCTCTAATTCAATTCTGCCGGTGACGCTATTCGATACACATATTTGCGCGTATGTAAAGCATTCCGTGTGTATAAACCGTTCGACAGGCGCGTTCATCTCCGCGTGTATACAGGTACAGGTACAGGTATATGTCGCCCGTATATACCTACGTGATGTCACGCGCGGCTCAGAAATGCCGACCTTGCGCCCGCGGCTTAAAGTCAGTGCACGCGTAATGCGATGCATTCATGTTCGCCAAGCCTTTCGGCCAATCCCTCCGTCGGTCGTCCGACGGCCGTGCTGATAAACGACGGCGGCGGCGACGGCGGCGGCGGCGGCGGCATATCTGCCGCGACGCGGAGTACGTGTACGCACGTGGAGTACGCGCGCGATATGTAAATACGCCGACCCCGTCAGACGAAATATCAGGTAAGACCTACATACATTGGAGGCAAATGTCGTTTTTCCTCCCGCGCGTGACGTTCAATCAACCGGTAAACAGTGTTCCTTTTTTCCTCCTTTTTTTTCAAGCCGGTCAAGAAAGCGACGTATAATCGTATCGTAGATATAGGAAAATCTGGGATAAGAAGCGCGTTTTCGAGAATTGAAACGAGTAATGATATTCTTCGTAACGAACGAAAGAACAAGACGCGGTTAATTTCAAACTCTTCTCGGCAGAATGAAACTTTCGCTCCTCTTTCTATTCCTCTCCCGCGCTCTTTCTCTTTCTCTTCCTCTCGCGCGCGCGCGCGAGAAAGAGTAATTGAGTTAACTGCATTGGGATTATGCCAGAGCCTCAAGCTTGGCTTAAATCAGAACCGTGTGACGAATAAACTGCTGTTACGTCGGCAAGTGGCTCATTCGTATTACTCCAAATTTCACGGCTGGCACGTGTCGATTTTCTCGCGAGCCAAGAAAACCGGCTGCTGATTCAGCGGCCGCGGCGAGCGAGACGGGATCGATCGTCGACGCGTGATAATTGACGGAAATATATCCGTCAAAGGCGAGAAATTTCCGAAGAAAATAATTAGCGCAGATATAAACGTTCCGAGTATACCGTCTCACGGAGAGATATCGGTCTTTCCCAGGCGTAATAATTCGCGCAGTTACACGCAAATACACGTATGCAGTGGAAAATACGCCGTGCCCATTACGGATCGTCGCCACAGCTGTGAAATAATGAGAAATGGATGATCGTCGCGGCCGATGACGTATACCTACTTTTCCTTCTGCTCCCGGCTTGACGATGCGAGAATGCGCCGCAAGTACGAACGATAAATAATACATCAACGGCTTCGTTCCGAG